AAAATATAGTCAACATAGTTTTCATAGAAATAATCTTTTATTTCTGCAATCATATTCCATATAAACAGACATACTATATATCTATATCCTGATGTCTATACCTATATCCATATCTATATATTACACTGATAAGTAAAACTAGCATAAATTTGAGAAGAAACTTAATTGACATGATAAATGTAACATGGGCATAATAAAGAGTAACTCCTTAATGGCAATCATCAAGTTTGCCTTGTATATCTCACCATGTGCTTTGCAAAAGGATTGGAGAGCATGGATTAATGTTTAAATGGTGCTCAGGTAAGAGCTATTATTAAAAAAGAAGCAAGACAAGGAGATGAGAGAGAATGGGGAGACCACGTTAAAGGGGGTGTTCAGGAGAAGCCTCTCTGAGGACGTGATATGTAAGTTGAAACCTAAGCAAAGGGAATCAACTAGCCATTTGAAGGCCTGGGGAAAGAGTCAGGTAAGAGCAAGGGAGACTGCCAGGTACAAAGCCCAGAGATGAAAACACGTTTGCTAATTCAAGGACTTGAAGCCAGGCCTGAAGTGGTTGTAGCAGTGAGGAAGGGGCCAACGTTGTAGGATGTGAGATTGATGGCAGAGGATCCAAATTACTTAGAGCTTTTCAGGACATGGTAAGGATTTGGGATTTTATTCTAAGAGCAATGTAAGCCATGAGCAGTTTTAAACAAGAGCATGACAGAATCTGATTAAGGTTTCCTGTTTTGTTTTGTTTTTTTAAGTCAGTGTGGAAATTATATAGTGCATCATTTTTTTTAATTGATTAAGAACAAAGAAATCTGTATACCATATATATGTCCATTCTAAAGCTGTTAACTTTAATATTATTTATGTATATGACATATTTCTCATTTTATAAATATATGTTTGAGTTTAAAAAGATCTTGCTATTTTGGCTTAGTATTCATTAAAAACACAACAGATTTGTGAAAGAAATTTACTCATTGGATTAGCGTTCCAGGACATTCCTTTGCTTGGTTTACCTCATGAAAAACTGTAAGTAAAACATGCAGAACTAGCCTGGTTAAGTTCCCACGCTCTGTGTCAGGGGAAGGGCTGGGGTTTGCAGGTGCGGATCCTGGGAGTAGACCTAGCACTGCTTGTCTAGCCGTGCCGTAGCGGCATCTCACATAAAATAGAGGAAGACTGGCAACAGATGTTAGCTCGGGGCCAATCTTCCTCACACACACAAAAAAGCATCATACCTTTTTTTTGTTTTTGGTTGGTTGGTTGGTTGACTTTGCAGAAATACACTTGCTGAACCAGTTTTTCTACTTCACATTTGTCAAATTAGACACTAATAATTTCAATTGAATCTAATAGTAAAAGCAGGAGATGTAAACTTGAAGTATTACAAGGACTGGGAAGTAATTGTGTGAATCAAACCTGTATAAGACCATAGGGAGCGGCTGGGCCTGTGACCAAATCGGAGGCTATATGCTGTACCTAAATGCATTCAAATTCAACATTTTTGAGAACCTTGGGCTGGTCACACAAAGCAAACCTGCAGGCTCAATTGGCCCACCAACCACAAATTTGGGGTTCCTTGTCCAAAGATATTTAAAGCTTCTACAGGACAAAACTTTGATAAAATTGACACAGGGGTTGGAAGGTTGGTATGTGATTCTAGAGATTTCAACAATGTAATTCTCTGGGATAAACACAGAAGTAGATTCCTAAATAGGTCCAGGTTGCTTCATATCCACTCCAGGCAGCAAGAGGAGGTAATGAAAGGCAGTGAAAGGCTGACAGGTATGTCGAAGTGGCCCACAGACTTTTGCGGTAAAATTATTGAAGAATATTAGTAATGTAACACAGAATTCTGATTGAAACAGCTAATTAAAGAGACAAAATAATTTGAGGAAAACTACTGGTTTCACTTCTTGATGCACAAGAGATTATCCATTCTACTTTTGTGAGAGACAACAAATAGTCAAGCAGATAATTTTCTTTTAAATGACCAACCTCTGTGACACAAATGAGATTGATTTCAAATGTCTGCAGATTTATACATACTAAATCATACAAAATTGATTATGGTTGAGAATGTTGCATATTTTATTCTAACTCCTTGATAATTAGTTACCTACCTTTGGGACCTAAATCAACTCCTGGTTATGAAGCATTGTCACGAACCAGAACATCTTGTTTGTTTTTCTAGGTAAAAACTTTGGTGTTTTTATGTATAGTATTTAATAAGTCCCAAGTTTGTTGTTTTTGACAATGCTAGCCCAATGTCACTTTTAATAAAATACATGCCCTTTACTGACATAAGCTTTATACTGTAGTAGAAAAATATCAAGAAAAAAACATGTTTGTTAACATCTCATGAGAAAGGTAATTTGTAATATGAGTATTTATGAAGCTGCATTTTCAACCAAGGGAGTAAACTTTTGTTTCAAGGTGCATAAAATCAAATGAAAATATTAAAAGATCTGATTCAGTTAAGATCTGAAATATACATATATATGAAATATATTAGCATTTTATATACTAATATCATATAATACTCATCCTATTAATATTTAATAATATGAACATTATCTTATTTTAAATATACCGATTTCCTTAAAATGAATTAGTCCTTGACTATAGAGCATTCTTGACAAGAGACTGATGAGAAAACCAAGCTCTAACCAGAAATCTGTCTAGAGGTTAGCTGAAGATACAAAGCAGTGAGAGGCTGACATATTCTTTTGTGAGAATGTGGGATGTAACTGATAATTCAGTTTCTCTGCCACAGTAGGTAGTTGCACATAATTATCCTTAGACCTCATCAGACCTAAGAGACAGGCCTGACACACCATAGGAAATCAGGTTCCGTGTGCTTAGTTAATGTCCCATCACAGCACGCAAAAGCAGGAAGCTTTGCAAGCTGTGATTATATTAAGGTTCTTTTTTCAATGCTTTTCTACCATTAGAATTCTGAAAAGCGTAGTTGAAAGTCATACATGATCTCATTTGGATTAACTTCCCTTCACCTGAGATTCACACTGGCTTCTATCTTATCAAACACTCCAAAATCAGAAGTCCTGGGATATCAGCACACAATTAACCAATAATATAAGAAGGGAAGGGCTAATGGGCAGGCACTGATTAAAGCTGATCATTTCATATTTCCAAGAGGAATAAGACCTAAAGAGGCATTTGCAAATCAGTGTTTCACCCCCCTATCTTCAACTATTGTTATTATGAATGAATTTGTGATTTCATTTGTAGTCTATCCATATTAGGGAAAATGCAGGATGCCAGGGTTTGTAACCAACAATTATGTACTAAAACACTAAGATTCTGACTGTTGCAGATATGTATTGCTTGTATTCTTCACTATCAAATGAAATAAGGTTCTATATTCTACATCAACACCTAGGACAGTCAGACAGTAAACTGAAAATGAGGAGACAACCTATTTTATTAAGTTTACCAGAGTAAAGGAAATTGCTTCTATTATGTATTTCTATTTTCTAATGCAAATAGTTGTTATAACTCATTTGTTCTCTGTGGAATCTAAATCCTTTGGGAGGAAATTTACATGCTTTTATAATGGGATTTTTTTTTCCCTTAAGACTGATAGAATGTTTTGTCCTCCTTTCTCACCTGTGACTATAGGGGATACAAGAATGAGTAAGACAGTCTTTGTTAGAGTTCCTGATCTATTACAAGTTGGAGTGGGTAGAGGGTCAAAGTGAAATAGTGCACTGCAATATACAAGTGCTGTCAGTAATAAAGATACCTGTACGGGGTTCCTGGGATACAGAGAAGAGTTCTTTGTGGGGAACACACAGACAAAGAAGGCTAAAATCTGAGTATCCACCAAGATACCTACCGTAGAATAACACGTCTTTATAGTTATTTCAATTGTGGAATTATGCAGATAATGGATCTAAGAAAGGGATTTCCATCCACTCCTGCAAATTCTATAGTTTTGCTTTTTCCACTTAGAAGAAAAAAGTATTCAGACCCCATGGAGCTCTTAAGAATAGACATCTAACTTTTGAATAATGCATTCATTAAAAATAAACATCAGATATTAAAGTCAGCCTTAATTGTACATTCTTTTTATTTAGTCTGCATTAAACAATGCAGAGATTTTACTACAACAAAGAGCATAACATTTAATAGTTTTCAGTTAGAGCCCTTCAGTGAAAGCTTTGGGATAAAACAATTATAATTTCAAAGTAATCAAGCCAACTCTGTGAATTACTAGAACCAGAGCTATCACCCATAAAAGAGAGTAAAGGAGAGGCATCCCCTCCAATATAGGGGAAGCATATAGAAAACATGGGAAAGTTAACAATATGAACAACAGTAAAAACAGGTAGCAGGAGACAACAGCGTAGGGATAAAAACTTTGTAAAAAGTGAGTAAATTACCCATTTAAGATGTAAAAACTTTGCAAGGGGAAAATAACTCAATTTCCAAGTCTCAGCTCCCTCTTTATACTAAATGATATTTTTTCCTCTTAACTAGATACTGGTTTTTCTTCTCCAGAGTGAGATCACCTGGTTATTTGTTTACGGTTCCATTAATTACTACTTGGTCTATGATACAAATTTTTGTGTGTCTACATCCTCAAGGCTTAAAAATAAATTAGGTAGTAGCTCTAAAGAAATGTTATAAGCCGGACCTTCATTTTTAAATATGTCTCATGGGTATGTATATTAGGACTCGATAGCTTTATTACTTGTAAAAAGTAAAGTGAGTAATAACCAACTGAGCAGGGAATTAAGGCTCCAAGAATCTCTCGACCTACCTGGGCCTCAATGATTCTGCTAAGATGGTGATAGGTAGATTTTGAAATAAGAGAATGAAAAGGCATGTTAAATGTTGCTGAGATAAAGAGTTTTACCTCCTAATTCAGGATGACCAGATGGATACCATCTGTATGGAAGCTAGCTACCAGGAAACAGAGCTTTACTGCATGCAGCTTTCCACTATTTAGGAAAAGCCCAATGCCTGAATACTGCTGGTCCCTGAAAGGTGGGCTAAATGAAAGAAACAATGTCACACCAGATGCATGCCTTGACTTTTCAGATAGCATAGCTTTAGAAAAAAACAATTCCCACACCACAAGCTGAGACTTATCCTGTTAGCTCTAAAGCTTCAAAATTATTCCAAAACACTAAAACAATGCTTAAACTAATACAGCATTCTATTGCCCTCAAATAGGATTTTGTATTTTAAATGGCTTACCAAAAAATATATCGTATAATTCTGAGGTAAACTTCTTTATTTTCTTATACAACCAAAAGTCTTAAACTATTACTACATTACCATTGTAACAGGTCATCTTTTAGTCTTTATGTGCAGTTTTCACATCGTTTCACTCGATATTTAGAAAGGTGTAGTTAACATATTGTAGACATTTTTAATATTGCTGCATCTTCTTTGTAATCTTATTTGGTACAATATAATCATGTTGAAAGTTATTTTTGTATATCTACAATGAATTAAAGTGAACACACCCACTCCCTCCTCCCCCCCCCCCCCCAATTAAAAGGAAATTAGAAAAAAGAAAAAGACAGCAAGAAGAAATGAGATTAGGTTCTGGGAAGAGAGAAAGTCAAATCATTCAAGTGTGGAGATGCAGAAGCCAGATTTTTACATTCATTCTTCATTACAGAAAAACTTTCTGGGACTACTACCAAATATTTCCCCAAACCTTTCAAGAAGCTCCAGTAGACTTCTGGATTTGTTCCTTTAAAATCAGGATGCTCTGCCTTTGCTCAGGAGGCAGCATGGCAATCTGATCTGCAGTCAGTTGAAGAACCTGCATGATCAAAGCTGCCTTTTCTTGATCCTGGGGAGTTACTTGGCTCTGCCCAGGACTAAAACTGCTAGGCTGGCCTCCACCTTGCTTGCCCGCCCCCTGCATGCCCGTTCCTTGTATGCCGGCCCCCTGCATGCCCACTCCTTGTATGCCCGCTCCCTGCATGCCCGCTCCCTGCATGCCTGCTCCCTGCATGCCCGATCCCTGCATGCCCGCTCCCTGCATGCCTGCTCCTTGTATGCCTGCCCCCTGCATGCCAGCTCCAGGATTTCCCACCCCTGAAATGCTTGGGACCTGTCTGGGTCCCTGAGGACCACCTGCCCCCATATTAATGGGACCAGGACCCTGGATTCCACCAGTCATAGGGCCTCTCGAACTGGGGCCAGGGCCCCTTATCTCCATTCCTCTTGCATCCATGCCTCTTGCTTCCATCCCTCTGGCTTCCATTGCACAGGTCTCCATTCCTCTTCTCTCCATTACTCGTGTCTCTAAGACCTCAGTTTCCATGGCTCGAGTCTCCATCCCTCGAGAATCTCTACTACCTCTACCATCCAAAGGTAGACCCCTTTGATCCATCATGGGTCCTCTGGGCTCTCCAATTAGCATTCTGGGATCTGCTAATGGCCCTCCCCTCATCTCATGTGAGGAAGGGCCACGGCTGTCATGACCAGAGGCATGGTGCATAGGGGGACCCTGATGAGGTGGGCCAAGATAGCCTCTGGGCTCTACTTCTCCAGTGACTGAGAGCAAAGTCCCTCCACGTGGGTCATTTGGTGCATCTCCTAACAGTCCTCGAGGAGGCAGGCCACCAGCAGTCATGGGTCCACGAGGCATAGGAGCTCTAGGATCCGACATCTGCACCTGTCCCCGCTCTAAAGGCACAGGACCAACCCCTGGCATTCCAACTTGGGGCTGCATTGCTCCACCAGGAGTTAAGGAACCAGGACCAGGTCCGGGAACCCCAGTTGGTATTGGCCCTGGGGCTGGAATTCCACCCTGGATAGGGGTCTGCATCAGAGGAGGGATGTCTTTCACAGGTCTTCTAGCCAAATGCTGAGGCTGAGGGGCTGGAGGATTCTGCTGGTTCAGTAGAACATTAGGTCCTGGGCAGATCCCAGGGCCAGGGCCAGAGACAGGCTGAGATTTGCCTGGGATGAGCGGTGTGACATGTATCTTGCGATGCAGAATTTTCAAAGCAATCTCTGGATCCATGATCCTCATCACTACTTGCGCCTGTAACAGGGCGTAAGCCAGTTGGGGGTTTTGAAGTAACATGTTTCGAGCTTCCTGGTGACTGTTTTGGACACACAGCTTCATCTGCTTCATCAGCTCAAACATTTGCTCCGGGGGGAGACTAGCAACTGCCCTGGTAATTGATTCTGGGGCATCTTCCGGATCGATGGGGTCCCCGTAGGGGGAGTCAATGATGGGCGCTGCAGGCCCTAGGCTCTTTAACTCCTCCTTGTTCTTTTCACTGGCAGCATTGTCCACCCGAAGCGCTCTCCCGCTGAACTCCCGCCCATTAAGGTTCCGCATGGCACTAAGCGCGGTCTCCTGGTCTTGATACTCGCAGAAGCCATACCCCTTGGGTTTTCCCGTCTCTCGATCGTATACCAGCCGGAAACTGACAACAGAACCAACCTCGGAGAAAATGTCCTTTAACTGCTCCTCAGTGGCCTCATACGGAATGTTCCCCACGAACACGGAACGCAGTGATCGATCCATGGCTGGGTCTCTCACCGCCAAACTCGACATGATTCCGGTTGTGCAGACACAACGGAGAGCCGAGTCTTCCCAGAGTCGTCCTCTGGCGACCCACGCTTCCGCTGAGCAACGGAAGAAGCTTTTAAAATCCGGGCAGAAACCTCTCTAGTGGGCGTGAATGGTTCCGCTTAAACGCAAAATCTGCGCCTCAGTGTTCCACTAACTTAATGAGTTAATGCTTTCTGCCCTTGAGCCTTTGTGATGCTGTCAGGTCCTCCTTACCGAGGCGTCGGATTCCTTTCTGTCTCTTAATCAGCAGATTTTTCATGGCGCACCACCACTCACTCCAGTAAAAACTTTGCGCGCGTTGACCACAGTAAAGATGGCCACATAGACTTCACCATGGTAACCAGGAGAGGCCGCCTCCCTTGACGTCAAGAGCGGTTGTGCTTCCGTTTGCCAGCGGGAAACCGCCAACTGAAGGCTCATTAAGGCGGTGTGTTCTAGTTCCGATGCAAGTGCTTTCCTGTAGCAGTTTCTCTTTATATGGAAGCTGTATTTAAAATCATACTCCAGAGTATGAAGGAGAAGTGTAGTCGTTTCAAAGCAGATTTGGGATTTGCCCCTCAAAATAGAAAAGTAATAGCGCCGTTTTAGAAAACATTTTTGGAAAGTAACTGCCCAGAAATACAAGCCGCACAAGGGTGCCGGCTCCATCCCCGCCCCCATCTTGTTGCTTCGGATAACGGGATAACGGCTGTTTGTTTGAAGGCGGGTCCTTCCAAGTTTTTCTCCGCGCACCCAGGCTGCAGTCGAGCTATTCATAATATTACTTTACCCCCCTTAATTATATTAACCAGTACTAATGGTTAGTAGTAAGTATCATTTAATGGCTGCAGAGCGTGAATTATGTTTAACTATTCTTATACTGTAGGCATCTAGATTGGTTCTGCTTATTATAAACTGATGTAATGATTTCACACCTCTACTATGAAGGGAAAAACAAACTGTAGTTGTTTCTATTCTGCTAGTTTTGCCGGCAGGCAGAAGTTGAAACGTGTGGAGCGAGGAGTTTTTTCCCCCATTTAACAGACCATAGAACTGGAGTTTGGGGAGACCTAGGTTATTTGCTAAGCAGCCAGGAAATGGCAAAGCCAGAATTCTTACACAGGTTGGTCTGTCATAGCTTCAGAGCTGGGCTGCCCCATATGGTAGCCACTAGCCGCTTGTAGCTGTTGGGTACTTGAAATGTGGCTAGTGTGATTAAGAAATTGAACTTTTAATTTTATTTCATTTTTATTTTAATCTAAATATGAAAACTGATGTTCAGTTAGGCTAATGGAAACCTTTTTAGTATGTTTGGAACAACTTGGGTATGAAATCTACTTTTGCAATGATAAATTTTTTTTAATCGAAATAAAAATCAAGTATTTACAGTTAAAAGTTATCATTCTAATTGCGATGTGCTGAATGTGTAAAATGCATGCAAGATTTTCAAGACTAAGTATAAAAATGTAAAAATATCTCCTTAATTTTATATTGTTTACATGAAGAAATATTTTTAATTTTTTTATTTAGACAAAATATATTTTAGCATTAATAGCATTCATTTCATTTTACTTCTAAAATGTAGTTACTTAGAAACATTAAAATTACATATATGAATTGCGTTGTATGTTTATGGACTACACTGTTCCAGAGTCTAAGTCTGAAGCGTTAAGCAGAGAATCATTTTATTCTGCATAAACCTTTTGAGGGGATTATTAAACTTCAGGTTTCATTGAGAGATTGTGTTATGTATCTTGGGTGTCATAGTCCAATGAATAGATCTGAAATGATGGGTTTAGCTACAATTTAGACAACACATCCATTTACATTCACGTGTTTTAATAGTTCTTTAAAACAGTCTTGGACATAGCTATTTATGCAAGATACATGATCATTTATATCTGCAAGTAATAAAGTGTACTTATATCACCTAATAAAATCTTCCTGCTATGTGAAAGAAACAGAATAGCCACTTACTAGTAATGGTTTTTCCCTCCTGATTCTTTTATTGGAGATGGGCCAGGGGTGGAGAGAAGTTGAGGATGGTATCATTTTGGAAAATTAAAAACAAACCCATTTGTCTCCTTTCCATACCAATCTCTTTACAGAGAGAAGCCATGACTTTTGTACACGCATTCTGTCAAGGATGACTTAGGCATCGATGATGTGTGTAATTGTGTATGTATTAAGTGTAGTAATCAAGAGGATAATAATAGGCTGTTAGAATAAGTTGTGAAGTTCATAAAAGGTTGGACGGCTTATCTGACAGTGAGAGCCTCTTTGCTGCTGCTGATACTATCTAGACAAGTGGGCCTCACACTTTAGCACGCATCACAACCACCTGGAGTCACGGTTTGTTAAGTCAGATTGCTGGGCCTCACCACTGCCCCTCCCCAGTTCTGATTCAGTATTTCTGGGGTGGGACTGGAGAATTTGCATTTCTAACAAGTTCTCAGGTGATACTGATTCTGCTGGTCGGGGACCCCACTTTAAGAATTCTTGATCTAAACACAAGTACTTGAAGTCATTTTGTTTTGTTTTGTTTTCATTTGTATCAGACCAAACTAAATTCAGTACACTGTTAAAAGGTATGAGATACGGGTGGTCTTAAAAAAAATCTATTAATATTTTAATGCTGATGCACTACAGCTAGTACATGCTGATCCCACACTGAAGATACAGGCCCAAAGGATGGGTGAGCAGAGTAGCTGAGGAACTCTGGGGATGAACAAGAAAGGAGAAGCCATCACTGTAAGAGAGTGCTTGTCACAGGCCTTCCATGTTCTCTTTAGTCCCCCTATTCAAAACTAGAAGAGTGGTGTAATATGGCCCCCTTCATAGTGGACCAGTGTGACCCAACGCATAGCTCAATGCCCAGGACACACAAATTAATATCTATTCTTAACTGAGTGGCCCACAATTATCAAGAGCTCTTAGGAACCTGTGCATATTTCCTGGTACCAATACATAATTTTCATAGATCTGCCTTCGAAGAACTTCCATTTTATACTGCTTTCTTTGTTCCCATGATATTTAAACTTGAGTTATTTATAGCATAGCATACACTTTGAAGAAAAATGTACATGGCATCTTGCATGTTCAAATGTTGACTCTTCCAATAAATCAAAATAGCAACTATACTAAGAATGATTTTTAAACACATCAGGGCATATGGCCAAATGGGGGCCATCCTTCAAACTAGTCACCTTCAGAAACTATAAACATAATCCATGAGGCTTCCATTGTTCAAATGATTTTTGAACTCCTACCCTGAAATTGTTTTAGGGCTCCATTTATAAGTCATACTAGAAAATTGGTGCCTTAATTCAAAGGTATACCTTGTTTTCAACCAAGGTTTGAAAGGGTTGTTTTCAACCAAGAGTTATGCAGCTAAATCAGCTAACTTTCTGACCAGACTTGGCAAAAATATATTTAGCTATTTCCAAGTATTGAACCTTACATCAGAGTACAAAGATTCTGTAGACTTTGAGGGTATTATAAGAGATTCACTATAGATTAATTAGACAAATTCCAAAAAGAGATACTAAAAATATTTTGGTTATGACAGGCATTTTTGAAATAAGTGTATGAGCCCTTCAAGGAATAGATCAAATCCACTTCTCCACAAAGTTCTCTCTAATCTTCCTCCTCCTTCCTCTAGGTTGCAAGTGAGTTCATCTTCCTTTGCATATAAATCATTCCTTATCCGTACCTTTCTGATGATAGCAACTATTCTATTTTTTAGTAGAACTGTGATTTTTCCTTCTAAACTATAGCATCATTCAAGGAAAGAACTAGATTCTCCTTTGTCAATTAACAAAGTGACATATTTATTCTTTTATTCCATAAATATTTATTCTAAGCACTGGAATACCACAGTGAAAAAGACAAACATTCCACTCGAACATAGATTCTGTAAGTGTGGTCCCTGGACAAGTAACATGAACATCTCTTAGAAACATCTTAGAAATGCAAAATTTTGGGCCCTACTTTAAACCACTGCAACAGAAGCTCTTGAGGAGTGCATGTGTTTGTGTGTGTGTGTGTGTGTGTGTGTGTGTGTGTGTGTGTTTAGAAATCTGTGTTTTAACAAGCTCCCCAGCTGATTCTCACGCAGGCTAAAGTTTGAGAACCACTGAACTAAAGGGACACAGTCATAGATAGATAGATAGATAGATAGATACTTTGTCTTCTTTTCACTGTGTCCTCAGCACTCAGGATAAAACTTACTTAGCACAGGTCAGTGCTCTTTATATATTGCATGAATGATAGGAAGTGACGTTAGAGTTAGCTAAGCCACAAGCCCTTCATTTTACACAAGAGGAAACCTATAGTGTTAAATAGCATGCCCAAAATCAGAATGGGGACCTGCTGCGAGGACCCTTGCCATTTTATTCCTAGCTCAGTGATAGTCCTTCCATGTTCCTATTTGATAACATAGATGTGTAATGAAGTATGTAGAGATGGAAGAGAGTGATAAGGTTTAACTCATCAAGGAAGGCTTCCTAATGGTGCTGGGATTTAAGGGATGGATTATAATCTGGTGTGTATAAATAGAAGATGAGGAGACTAAGCCAGGAGCTAGGAATAGCCAAAATATGAAATTGAAACCTGGTGTTTTTGATGCCCTCGGAGGAAACCAATAGAGAGTTGGTGAGTAGTATCATAAAAGATCATCTTTTGGGATAGATTACAAAAGGTTTTGAAGATCAGATTCATGAATCTAAACTTGATGTGAGTCACTAGGCTTTCTTCCACCTTTTTGAAACATGAACTTGGAATAATAACGTCAGAGGTTTAAGAATACCAGTTTTATCCGGTCCTTCTCCGTAATATCTTCTGCACTGGGACTATCCTTTTTACTGCATTATAATTTTTAATCTAATGTGGCAGTTGCTGTTCCTACATTGAGTATCTTCTGTAACATGGCTTCATTCTCATTACTCACTCGCCCCCTTTATGTATTCTCCTCTGGCTAATTTGTACCACTTATTTTTCACTATTCACGATCTGTGCTTTTCCACCTCCTAGCTTTGGCTCCCAGCTTTTGCTCATACTATTCCTTTTTTGAGGATGTCT